CTCACTCACCTCTACACACACACCAATCACTCACCTCTTCACTACACACACCAATCATCACGTCACCTCTTCACCTACACAACCACTCACCTCACCTCTTTTCTACACACACCACACCCTCTTCACTATACACACCACTCACTCACCTCTTCACTACATACACCACTCACACACCTCTTTTCTACACACACCACGCACCTCTTCACTATACACACCACTCACTCACCTCTTCACTACACACACGACTCACTCACCTCTACACTACACACACCACTCACTCACCTCTTCACTACACACACCACTCACTCACGTCTTCACTACACACACCACTCACACACCTCTTTTCTACACACACCACACACCTCTTCACTATACACACCACTCACTCACCTCTTCACTACACACACCACTCACTCACCTCTACACTATACACCCCACTCACTCACCTCCACACTACACACTCCACTCACTCACCTCTTCACTACACACACCACTCACTCACCTCTACACTATACACACCTATCACTCACCTCTACACTATACACCCCTATCACTCACCTCTTCACTATACACACCACTCACTAACCTCTACACTACAAACACCACTCAACTCACCTCTTCACTATACACACCACTCACTCACACCTCTACACTACACACACCACTCATTCACCTCTACACTATACACACCTATCACTCACCTCTACACTATACACACCTATCACTCACCTCTTCACTATACACACCACTCACTAACCTCTACACTACAAACACCACTCAACTCACCTCTTCACTATACACACCACTCACTCACCTCTTCACTACACACACCACTCTCACACCTTTACACTACACACCACTCATTCACCTCTACACGATACACACCACTCACTCACTTTTTCACTATACACATCACTCACTCACCTCTTCACTACACACCACTCACTCACCTCTTCACTACACACACCAGACACCTCTTCAATATACACACCACTCACTCACCTCTTTTCTACACACCACACACCTCTTCACTATACACACCACTCACTCACTTCTTCACTACACACACCACTCACTTACCTCTACACTACACACACCACCCACTCACCTCTACCCTAT